CTCGTGTGTACAAATGCATGGCTTTGCCCCTGTCATGTTTCTCAGCTTTTCTCCTTGCCCACTCCTCATTATCCAATCCTCAAGTTCTCACTTTCCTTTTAGTTAGTTAGTTAGTTTGTTTTTGTTTTTTGGCAGATCCAGGGATTGAACTCAGGCCCTTGCACTTGCCAGGGAAGTGCTTATTCTACTGATCTATCTCCCTGGCCCACTTTCCTTTTATTTGTGTTGTAACACAAATGTATATGTAGTTCCTCCTTTAAGTTCTTACACTAGGGAGACAATATGATATTTACACATGTGGGTCTGGTTTATTTCACTTATAAGTATATCTTCAAGTGGCATGTAGGATTAACTTTATGCAATTTGAAATATAATGTCTTTCTAGTCCAGACATGTGGTGCATGCCTGTAATCCCAGTGCTGTGGAGGCTGAAAACAGGAGGATCACTATGAGTTCGAGCTGTGTAGTGAGACCCTGTACCAAATACATAAATAAAATATAATGTCTTTGTGGATGACATTCTTGGTTTGTCAACTCACATTTGTCTCTTTTTATTAAAATTATAATTTTACAAAATTATAATTTACTTTTCACATGTATTTCTGTTTTTTTTTTTTTTTTTTTGAGGGAGTACTAGGAATCAAACTCAGGACCTTGAGCTTGCCAGGTTAGTTGCTTGTGCCCCTGAGCTATATTCCTGGTCTCTTGTTATCTTTTTTAAAGGCTTCAGGATATTTAAATATTTCATTGCCTTTTTTCCTCACTGAAGTTCATCTTCTTTGTCTGTAAAATGTACAATTTGAGCTAGTTCATCTCTGTGATGTGTGTAATTCTTGATGTATTCCGTGAACTTTTAGACCCGTCCACTGCCCCGCAGAATGGCTGGCTGTCTCCTCCACCCAGCAGCATCTTTGCAGTCACCAGCCTGGCTGGCTTCTTGCCCTCTGCTAAGGGAAGCAAACCTCAGTGCTTAGGCTTTGGGTCAGGGGCGAGAATGTGTCAGTGTGTGTCCACCGAGAGGAATGGGTGGCTCATGAAACCAGTGACTGTCCTAGGACGCTGTCTGCCAGGATCTGTGGTGGCCACTGGAGAACGAGGTGCACTAGAGAAAGAGAGCAGGCTGGCCTGAGCCTGCGAAGAGAAAAGCTGGATTTGTTGTCCCACTGGGGGGACAGCTCCAGAAGCCCTGTAGGTGTTAGCCTGGGACTGCAGGGACTTGGGGAGGTGGGTGTTTCAGCTGAGCCAACATAGGCTCATAGAGGGAGTACTTGAACTCTTAGTGAATAGTTTTGTTGAAATGTTTTTATCTTAGGGGAGGTTTATTTTTTGTTTTTGGTGCCAAGGAGTAAAACCAGGACTTCTAGCTTGCTAGGCAAGCATTCTACCACTGAGTCAAATCCCCAACCCTGAAATGTTTTTATCTTGAATTCTTTTACAAATCTAGAATGCTTGCCTGTTGTAGTATGTTTCCATGGGTGTATAAGAAGAGCACCTTGCTGGAGAATGACCTGGGTCCCCGCAGTTGAACAAGGAAGTCTGCGCTGAGGCTGCAGTGGGTGACATTTGGAAATCCCCAAATTTTAGCTCCTTTCTTTTTGTACCATCCCCTCTTTATTTATTTATAATAATTTATTTTTTTATTTATTTGGTACAGGGTCTCCATAGCTCAGACTCATAGTGATCCTCCTGTATCAGCCTCCCTAGCGCTAGGATTACAGGCATGTGCCACCATGCCCAGTTTCGGTGGCTGGCTTGGCACAGCCAGCACGGCATACAGTACCAGGAATCAAACCTGGGTCCTTGTGCTTGCTTAGACCTCTGAGCTATCCTAAAGTTTGAGATCGTGTCTCAGTTGCTAAATTGCCCAGAGTGGGTTCAAGTCTGTATTCCTGCTTTAGGTTTCCCAGAGTGTTAGGATTGTAGGCCACCATGCTTTTTAAAGTATGTAAACTTTGAACTATTTTAAGTTAAAACAATAGTTCAAATGTTTTACTAATGTGAGAAATTAAAAAA